TATTTGGCGGGTTCAGCCTCATCACCCATGGCCGCAGCACAGACACCTCCTGTACAGTTTTCATACTCAGCGATGTCTGGGTTTTCCAGTTTTTCTAGTTTTCGCAGGCCGGTGGGATAGTCAGTCATACACCTTCAGGGTCCTTATTCTATGGAGGTGCTTCATCGTCATCAACTCATCATTAACCTAATGTATCTACTCAGGACAACAACGACGACGGCGATAGTGATGATGATGACAGTGAGGAGTCAGAACCAGTGATACGAAGAAATCCTCCTCGAGACCGACAGCCACCGCCCTACGGAACACATTCGCGTCGTAGGCATCGATAGATTTTTTTATTATATTTATATTTACTTTATTTTGTTAAATTGTAATTTTTTTATTATTTCTCATTTAATACTTATTTTATTTTATTAAATTTGTTGGACTTTTTCTTAATGTATTTCAGTTAATTTTGTTTATTATCATTTAATATCAATTATTGTAATTTGGTTATCATTTACCATTTAATACTTATTATAAGTTTATTGTATTTAAAATCATATTCAAATACCAATTTTGTTATCATTAACTTGAAGTAAATGCAAATTAAAGTATAAGAATTATTATTTGATAAACAAATACATCATTTCCTCATCAATTGTTACTTGATGACAACAGAAGTGGACATGTTTTTCTCGTGTGTCCTGGGTTTCTACAATGCCCACATCTTCTATCTTGTCTAGATCTTTCTCGAATATCCATATCGCAATGAATTGGATTGGATTTTGGACGACTACGCTCCCTCAATAAACTCGAATTTGGTACAATCGGAAGCTAATCTTGAACCTCATCAGGGTCTTTGTCATTACCTATGGGGGAAACTCAAATTCATATACCTTAAAAACTTCAGATAGTAGGTATATGGGATCCACAAAATGGTTATATTTTTGAATTATGTGCGAGCAAGCTGCTATCACATGAGAACATGGATACTTCAGAGCTTGAAAAAACCCGCAATCACACGTTCTGTTCCTTAGATTTACTCTTAACGACACAGCTTCAATCCCTTGAAGAGGTTGCGGCAACTCTGTGATACGAAACATTTCATGCCTTCTAGAGAAGATTGTTACAGACATTCCATTTGATGCAACAATTTTTTTCTGTATATCTGCAACTAATCTAGGGTGATAGACATGACCGCCTTGCATCCAGGTTTGAGCTTGTCCCCCGAGCTTCGCAAAAAGCGCCCCCAAACGAAAAATATATAGTTTTTACCAAAGCCGCTACAGGTAAGTGACGTGCACCCTTTAAGGTTGAATTGATTGCCTCAGCCAAGTTGGTCGTCATGTGTCCATATCGATATCCACCATCATATGCGTTCATCCATATTTCTTTATCGATGAGGTTGATGTAATCGTATCATTCCTCGTTCTTCGCCCGCAAATCTTGAAGCATTGATTCAAACGTTCGAGGAAGTAGTTTGTAACCTGATCAAAAAATGTATAACTTACTAACTTGCTTTCTTTGCAAAATTAAAATGATCAAAAAATGTATAACTTACTAACTTGCTTTCACTTACCCATGTGCACAATTAATTGTCGCTCATCATTCTTCTTGTACCTTTCATGATAGTTCGCAGTAATGTGTCGGAGACAATACCTATGTTGGACAAAAGGGTGGTTGCCACATTGGACCCAAAGACTCCATTGCTGCTTTGATCCCAGCTCCGCGATCTGAAATGACACAGATGTTTTCCCTCATGATAACATGTGCACGAAAATTTCGGAGGAAAAAAGCCCAAGAATATGTATCTTCTCCTTCGACAAAAGCAAAAGCAACTGGAAGAATGTTGCGATTGCCATCTTGGAAAACTGCCAATAATAAAACTTGCTTGTATTTTCCATACAAGAAAGTCCCGTCGATCTGGACCACAGGCTGGCAGTATTTGGCAGCATTAACGCACTGTGGGTAACTCCAAAAAACCCGGTAGAATTGGCATCGATCGCGAAGAACTCGATCATTATGGTATGCATAGGAGGTTTTGAAGTCTATAATTGTCCTAGGATTCAACGTCCGCACCAGCCTAAACCAACTTGGAAGTTCGTTGTAAGATGCATCTCATTCGCCATGAAGTTTGACAATGGCATTTTGTTTTGCCAACCAAGCTTTTTATAGGGACAGTGTACCCATACTGCGATTGTATAGCTGAAATCAACACACAACAGCTATATGAGATCTTGCTTTTACCATGGGCATGATGGCTTGGCATATCACTTCAGAGTCTAAGTTGGGATGATCTTGGTTGACCCCTCCAGCACAACATGTGTGAGGACCGTTGTATACTGTTAGTTCCCATATGTTGTTTTTTCCTTTTCATTTTCGATACGCGAACCATCTAATTGCATCTGTTTCGCGTCGGGCACAATAGCATACATATTTTTCGGTCCGTTGATCGGTTGACTCTGGACTGAACAGATTACGGATATTGTAATTTTTTATAGCCATCATCGCTTCTTTTTTGCTTGAAAACTCCATGCCTAAAGATAACTCACCATTATTTATTGATGATAATATCCATAGTCACCGAGATGAGGCATATCCGCAATTCTGGCCCGTACATTACACCATATCACTTCATACATGTGTGCATGAGGGTCAGTTTGTGTCACATTTCCTGTACTTCATCTACATCATCATCATCGGAGTTGAATTGCAGTGATTCTGGGTGAATGAATAGTCCATCTCAGCACCATCCACACCAGCTCACGAAGCGGTTCTTCTGGTGGAGATGATGGTTCCTCCATGCGCTCCACATTTAGGTCGAAGAACCTACTACTTGCATGTCTTCCCCTTGAACTAGAAGGCATATCGACATTGAGATCGAAAAAGCTCGCAGTCGAATGCCTCCCCCTGGAGCTTGAAGCCATCGTGTCAAATGAAACTGCACAGATGGTTGCGTCGATGGCATCTCAATATGGTTTAAAGAAATTTGCAGATGAATGTCTTCCCCTTGAACTGGATGCGGTGTTTCCATACGGACTGTTCGTAGACCCACCTCGTACATATTGTAAGGAGTTGCGGATGAATGTCTCCCCATTATGGCATTAAAATCATTACACATTACTGTAGTCGAGATGTCAACTTGATCAACTTTTTCAGTCAGCCCATAGTGGGAGCTTAATGCTTGACCCCAAACAGCACGCACTTGAACAAAATGTGCATACATCTCAATAGCGGCGTCTGAATAATTACTTTGAGCTTCAACCATCATTGAACATCATCATTGTTCGAAAGTTCGAACGCTGTATAAGTTAATTGCAACAATGATGTTGGAAATATGTACTGCAACGACGACATTCTTCTACTACTTCCAACATGAATCTTCCTCGAAATCTTCGTTATCAGCTCCTCAAGAGTTATGTTTCGCTTAATGATATTTTAACACGCTCATTGATACAAAACAACGCCGTTTCATCTTCTCGAATTTCACCATCATAATAAATATTGAAAGTCGCGCCATTCTTTGAGTTTAAAAGTGCGGCAATATTATATCTGCAAAAAAATAACTGAAAAAACTTGATTAAATAAATTATATATGAACGAAAATATAACACAATAATTTTTTACACATCAACGTAAATAATTTAAATAATATAATTTTATAATATTACCTGCACCGCAAAACTATTTCGACGTATGCTCCCGCTATTCAATTTTACAAACTTAAAAATTAATTGAAATAATTAGTATAATTTTTTTCAAATAATGATAATAATAAACAATAAGTATAATTAAAAATTATAACAAAATTACCTTATAACGAAAAATCGCACAAACTTCTAAATCAAATATGAGAAGATTGCCAAAATTATTACTGTTGACGAAATTGTTGTATTAATTTATAAGTTGAGGAGAGATGAGAGGAGATGTGAGAAACGTAACCAGAGGAGGGTATTTATAAACATATAAGGCGCGTACCTGCACCGCGTTATATGTAATTATTATATAGCGCGACCAAGGACCGCGTTAAATATAATTTTGGTACAGCGTATAGCGCGGCCCCTGATCCGCGCTATACCCCTACGTGGCGTATAGCGCGGTGTAGGGGACGCGCTATACCCCACGTGTAACCCAGTCAGGGTATAGCGCGGTACAGAGGACGCGCTATACTCCACGTGACGCTAAATTAGCATATAGCGTGGTTCAGGGGACGCTTTACTGCTATAGGTGTTAGATCAAAAAATATAATCTGACCGGTGTTAGATCGGTAAATATACTGATCACCGGTAATTTTTTGAGAAAAACACCAATTTTTTCCTTAATTTCCTTCTTGCAAACGTAAGAAAAAAAAGGAAAAAAAATTGTTTATGCTCACCCACTTTTCCTACTCTTCATACCATCCCCATCTTTATTCTTTCATAAATTTTAGGCTATGGTTCACATAGTGTAAAATTTTCAATAGAAATAAGATTATTAAAATAACATTATTTAAATATTGTATTATCTTATTTGATTTAATGAATAAAATTATAAATCGATTAGATTAATATAAATTATTTGAATATATTTTATTAAATTATCTTGTGATATATGTTCTTTTCACAATTAAACTTTAATAATAAATATAAAATATTTGAATGAAAATTCATGTAGTATTTAAGACAATGAATAAAAAATAATATATTATATATAATAGTTTTGGATAAACGAAGCTCGTGGCAACATCTCCAGATTGTTTGCTTTGAAGCGATTGCGGATCTACTAGCTCTGGAAGCGGATGTAACAAAACGAGATGATCACCTACCCTACTGAATTAGGTTTCTGTTCAATTAAAAAAGACAAATACTGAAAAATAACGTTTTAATGAGAATTATTAATATTTTACTTTCAGGATATTTTGTTCATCAAATGTGGAAATCACTGCTTTTAATATCAGACATTGTTTCTGTTTTTAAGTTGATAGTATATTTTAAGCTATACGAACAATACGAGTAATTCAAGCATAATAATGGATATTTAAAAAGCAAATAATGGATAAATTAAGGCAAAACAATTGCAGATACTGAAGCATTCCATAACACAAAGTAAATCATAAAATTGTTTATGCCAAACTACATTCAGAAACCGCAAACACATGAAAAGAAAAACAAACTGATTTCCTACTCAGAGGAACGTTCTTAAAACCTCACCATCTACTCTACTTCATCTTTCCTTTTTTTCTTCTTTTTCTTCTTTTCACTTTTATCATAATCTGCACCATCAACAACAGTAGCAGCAGCAGCAGCAGCCTCCTCGCTCTCCTTGCCCTTCTTCTTCTTCTTCTTCTTCTCTGACTTCTCTGTTTCTGGTGATATAGCTTCAGACTTGTCTTTCTTCTTCTTTTTCTTCTCCTTCTCAACCTTCTCTTCGGTTTCTGCGTCATGGCCCTCTTTATCCTTCTTATGCTTCTTTTTCTCCTCCTTCTCAACCTCAGCTTCGCCTTCATGAACTTTAGCTTTCTTAGCAACAACCGGAACAGGGCTATCACTGCTTTCATCCAATTTGCGCTTCCGCCCCTCCCCATCCTGCTTTTCCACCACTGCAATCTCCTTCATTGCAGGCTCGGCAGAAGCTGCTTGGCCGGCAACCATAGAATCCCCACCAGTTGACAAGGCAACATTTCTTAACCACTCTTTAGGAGTACTATCATTCGGCTTCCCATGCTTATCTAATTTGCCTTCTGCAACCAATTTCTTCTTCATGGATGCAGTTGGTCCCAATCCCCACTTCCTCGGATAAGTATCCCTGTCCATGACGACCCTCTTAATCTTAGCCACCACACCATGATCACATGTAGCCATAACCGCAGTCGTCATTTCAGCAATTCCCAGAGCAATCGCCTCTCCTTTAGTGGTCATCAACACAACTTCCTCCCCGACCTCGATATCGTTCTCGAACCTCAGTAACCCCGGAATCATCAACTTCGCGCCGTAACAAATAGCATTAACAGCAGAGTCCTTCACAACCAACCTTTTATAACTAGTCAAAAGACTTCAAGAGGCATAACCACCCTCCTCAAATAAGTCTCGTCTCTATAGTTATCATAAACCCATTGAGCATCCATAACATCATGCATAGTGACCATATTATCTTTCTCGCCTAAAATCCCAGACCTAACCCTCCTAAGTTCCTGCATATGCCCACCAACCCCAAGAATCAATCCCAAATGAACACACATGGTCCTAACATAAGTACCAGCTTCACAAGAAATCCAAAAACAACCAAATGTTTATCAACATCATACTCGAGAAGCTTACTTTCGTAAATTGTTCTAATCCGAAGCTGACGTTTAACAGCCGATATCAACGGCGGCCGCTGAAAAACAGCTCCAGTCAGCTTTCGAGAGCCCTAGCAACCTTAGCGACATCAGGCACTTTGGAGTGCAAACGGGCAACACAGACATACTCTTTGCCAGCACCCTGTTGGGATTTAACAAGGCGTGTGGCTCTATCGATACAGACGATGAGATTACCGGTGACTTTGGGGTCCAAAGTTCCACTGTGGCCGGTCTTTTCGACGCGCAAAATGCGCTTAATCCAAGCAACGACTTCATGAGAGGAAGGGTTAGAGGGTTTATCGAGGTTCAGAATGCCGTACCTGATGTACTCGGCGAGGGCCGCTTGAGGGGAGAAACCGGAGGGAAGCGGAGTGTAGTGTCCGGTTCGGACGTTGAGGCGGTCGTAGTTTTTGAGGAGGATGGGCCACTGGGAAGTGTCAATTGAAGGGTGGTGCTCTGGGGTTTGATCATGAAATCTTGGTCCGATTCTTTGGCTTCACCATCTGGACTGGTTTTGTTCTTGTGCTTCTTTTCTGAACGGGACAGCTCCACTTCAGACATTTTTTTCTCTTTCAGTGGGTTTAGGGTTATTGAGCGGGGTTTAGGGTTCAGTGGGTGGTGTGCCTGTAATGTAAGGAAGATGAAGCGTTTATATGGTTAGGGTTTTAGAGCTTTTAACCGTGGATGGGCTTCCTTTAATTAGGGTTTTCACTTCTCTCCTATCCTAAGGGGATTGAGCCTTGTATCATCTCATGAACCCACCCCATTTCCCAATCAAAACGTTTCTACTTTGCTTTTAAAGGAAGTCGAATTACACCTTCAAAACTTTCAAATTTCGTTTTGAATAATCAATCTTTTTCCAAGGAGGTGTTTGGAAACCAACATTTGGATTTTAAAGATGGCATGAATTGAATAAAAATTAAAACATTCATCATTATTTCTCAAATCCATGAATGTAGTGATAAATTTGAAATCTTCTCTACTTTTCAATTATACACATTCATTCTAATCATTTATATGGTAAATGAAATCCAAATCCAAATTGCCAAATAAATATAAAGATTTTTGTAGCTAAGCTTTTGGAGAATTGGATTCCAACAGTTTTGATGAGCAAGGATGAAATTCCCCGAGCCTATTACATTCACCAACACGAATACAAGCAAAATTCGACTCTAGTTTGATTTCACTTCAAGCAGAAACCTCAGAGGGAGGGGTAGCCCATACATTCCTCATATTTTTCCTTTTCTGGGATTCAACTTTACCTTGGTTGCCAATGGCATCGGATACTGCTTTTGGTAGCCAAAATCCAGGTCTTTCGAGAAACGGTGCCCTGTCGAGGACTAACGGCTCTCTCAAGGTTATCGCAATGCCATCATATGTCCATAATGCCAAAGTTGCCTCACCCTTGAGACCCAAGGAGAACCAACCTAATCCAGCTGCTGCAATGTCGATGCTATTTACATCCCAACTACTTCCACACACTTTAATTTCCCTCTCTTGCCATTCCCCTAATTCAGAAGCTCGGTCTTCACCGATGGGCGCTGAAGACGAAGTACAAAGGAGGTATATCAGGGCCTATATCTTTTATGACATAACTTTAGTTATACAATCAAAAATGCATTTAAAAGGGGCAATGCCATCACCACAGCAATATATTTTCCGTCGAAGATCAATAATTTATCTCTAGAAAAGCTACAGGAAGAAAAGAAATCGGTTAAACTACTTCCTGGCAATCTAATAGAAAAGGGACTAAGGCAATAAGATCAATAAAAGTAACAAAAAAAAGGAAGAGACCGATAATTTCTCTATCGATATTCTTCCACTTCCATTTTATGAGGATATTATTTCTACTTCTTTCAAATGAGAAGGATGAATGGGCAACAATTAATGTCATAGCAGAACAATGCAACTGAAAAGTGAGAAAAAATGAGTAATAATTAGCATAAAATGGAAACCAAATACCAAAGAGAATAAAATAAAAGCAAATGTTTACCTGCAACCTGATACCCACATGGTTCTTCCATATCTCATCAGCATTTTCAGCCTTTCCCAAGTGTAGAGAAACATTCGGCGATGCCCAAATTGTAACATAAATTGTTTGCACTGAAGCATAATTTAGATCCAGTCTCATCAAGCCACCAACATGGACAGCCTGTCCTACCTGTGCATTTTTCTAAGCATTAGACTTGACAATGTTCCACTTTAGTTACATTGCTACCTTAAAATATTGAAAGATTGAAACACAAAAGGTGTGAAAATTTAATACTTTAGACAGCAAACAATTGAAACTAAGATAACATTGGGAAACAATTAAAGGAAATATCAGTTCTTACATATAATATTAAACTTTTCTGCATAGAATGAAAACTATTCAACAAAGGAGGTTCAGGTGCATGTAGACTAAGCATAACACAAGAATTACCAATCTATTATTATCCAGGTCACTTTTCGCTGCTTCATTTCCTTATGAGCATATATCAAAAGACGAAGCTATCGTCATTGACCATGAAGGGGCATATAACTTGGTACTGGATTTGGCCTCTAAAACTTATTGTGTCCATCTTTAAAATTAATTTCATCTTGGTGTAAACCATCATAATAAAAAGTTAGAAGTCGGCAAATGAGGGGACAGTGGTAGCATGTTAGGTGTTTGCCGATCTGAAGAGAATGCAGACAAATGACCCAGTGGAAGATGTGATTTGACCTCCCAAACAGATCAAGGTACAAATATTGTGAAACAAACTTCATCATACCGTGAGCCTGCATGATAGGAAATTAGAAATGGCCTCATATTGGAAAAGGTAAGGGTGCCGGATGATGATAAATAAAGGCAAATAAGAGACATTTCTGATCTTTGGCCATGAGAAGAGAATGTCTGAAAATGCCCTCGTAAGTTGTGATTTAACGGAGGATGCCCACATGAAAAAAGGGCCATGGACAGAAAAGAAGACATCAGTGATGGAGTACCATTAAAAGGGACCCTGTTTTCACTAATCTTACTACAGAATGTTTAAAATAGTACATAACTGTGCCATATAATCCATGCACAGCTGACCACATGCCACTTAGTTAATCTCTTTATTCTTGTAAATCATTAAAAGAGATATTTGTTATTCTTGTTACTGAAACATACACGGAATTATGAATAAAGACAGACTCAGTTAATCTTGTCACTGTAAACAAGCATATATTAAGAAAAAGGATCAGATGCCACTTAATTGGACGGCAGAACGAAGACGCAGATGAGGAAGTTAAAAGAAAATCCCTCAAGATCAATGATATGAACTCATTTCGTGCGTTATACCATTAATGTACAGTATATTATACTCTCATATTCATAACCAACTAATCAAAAGATGCAACAATCAACTTTAACTTTAATAAGTTCAGTAAGCTTAAAGCACCAAGATTCTATTAGATTTTAATCGAAAACTGTACCTTCACAAAATAAAATAAAATTCTTGGGAAAAAAGGCATAACTGAGCAGAGTGATGATACTAAGAGTAAGAGGAAACTTGCCTTAACTCTGTATGTCCGAGGTTTTAGCTCCTTTCGTATTTCAACCATCTTCTGCTCTTCCCTGTTCAATCTCATAGACATTAAATAAGAATGTAGGAGCCCTGGAGTGTCATACATCTTTGCCTTGGCTGACAAAATTCCACCAATTCGCAAAATTCCAAGAGTTGTCCCAGGAACAGGAGCTTCTGTAAGTCTTGTTATATTTGTCTTTTCCCTCTTTGCAAATGCATTGATAAGAGTAGACTTTCCCGCATTTTGAGCCCCAATAACCCACACATTTCCTCGAGGACCTGCTAACTCCTTAACGAAGGCCAACAAATTCTTTACACCCAAATCCTTACGGGAGCTAACCAAATACCCCATTAAGCTTCGGCGCCCCTGCAGCCTTAGCTCTGTGCCTAACCCACCTATCTAATCTAGTAGGTGAGATTTGTGAGGGGAGAAGGTCAACTTTTGTAGCCACAAGAACAAGTCTTGGCAACTTTTTGGAAAGTTTGGAGTCACTTTGGGCCTTCTCCAACAACTTAAACAATGACTTTGCAGCTTGTTTCGGGAAGGAGCCATCAAAATCAACACAATCAACAACCATAACAACAACAGTAGCATCAGCATTCCCAGTTGGCTTTATCAACCTAGTTGCAATTAGTCTATCGAATCAAAATCGGGGATCAAGTTTCTACAGATTGGTTCTTCACCTGCCCATAATTCCTCAAAGAATGGCACCGTGCGCATACGGTGACCGTTTCTTTCTCTTTCTTTGCTTCCCGAGTCAGCTTCTTCCTTTCTGCTTTTGACAATCTCTTCCTTTTACCATTCTCCATAGTCTCCTCCGTAATGTTACCATACCCAACACTTGCAGGGGCAAAACCATCAAACTCTACATCATCCTCTTCTTCTATAAACTTAGCTTCCCATTCATCAGAATCCCAATCAAACTCGTCCCTCTTTCCCAAATTATCTTCTTCTGTACCACTTCCCTCAAAATTCCCCTCAATTTCATCCACAAAATCTTCTTCTTCTTCAACATCATCTTCCAACCCTTCGAGTTCATCCTCAACATACTCCTCCATATCCTCTATATTCTCATTCTCCACTAGTTCCCTATCAACAACCTTCCTTTTCTGATAATACCCCGGAAGATTTGGGTCTTTATCTTGCATAAAAACTCCACAACCAGGGCAAACAGGCCCATAATTCTCATCCTCATCTCTCCCCTCACTCAAAACCGGATTCTTTCCCTTTTTACGTGAGATTTTGCCATGAAATTTCTCTATAGTTCGATGAAAATCCTGGTTCTTTACAGCTAAACCAATAGTTGAAACTCTATTTTGTTTGTTCTTCCCGTTACCCAATCCTGTACAAGCAGTGTTTATGAAATTTGGGTTTTATACCATGCATTTGAAAGTAAAAGAAAAATAAAGACATACAAATTAGCAAAGCAGATTACCAGAGAAGAAACAATCTGTTGTTTCAGGACAGTTCAGTATAGCTCTTCTATTGTTGTAATGGAGCTTGGGTATCAGCTTGACTATTGTAGTTGATAACAGATATGACATTTCTTCAAGATACAAAGATTTGAACTTTTATTATCTATCTAATCCAAAAAAAAAAAGGCAAGAAAAATAAGCAAATCAGAAAGAAAATATTGAGAAACAAACCAAGTTGGATTACCAAGGGGGAAAATCCTTCAAATGGGCGAAAGACAGCGAAGACTCAAGTTGGACGAGGATTTGTTGAATGGGTACTGAAGGGCTTAAGATGGGCTACAATTTGAACCTTGAACCAATTCAAGATTCTGGACACAGGCTTAATGGTTGACAACACGAACAGATTAGAGCCATCTCTTAAAGCCCATTTTCAGCAAACGTGTTTGTATTTTTTCGGCTTAATTACAAAAAGTCCAAATTCTACATTTTTTATTTAGGTGTTTAAACTCTTTTTCAATTAATATGTTTTAACATTATACGTTATTACAAAAAAGCCCATTATTTTAACGTGTTTGAATTTTCACTAGAACACGGAGAAAAACAACATATCATGTGGAAGTTGTATCGAAATACTATTTAGAGGAAAAAATAATTTGATATTATTGATGATTCTTCTCCGTATGAAAGAGGCTCATGTTATAAGAAGCGACATATTCGTGTTATATCGTTTCGGTTAAAGAACAAAGAAGATATAAGAAGAGAAAAAGAAATCTAATAACTAGAGAAATTTTATAAAATTCATCATAACAACTCAGTACAATCTCTAAAGGAATATCATAATTAGTCAAAGATTGTATATGATAACTCCTGTATCATCTTTATATTACAAATATTTTAATTAATTTTGATTGATTTGCCACTATAATATTGTTCAAATTATTTTCCCATTTTATATCATGATCGGTATCATAAATGTCATGTCTTACCTCATTCTAAAAACATGTCAAAGAATATTTATATTTTCTATTATCTTCTCTTTCTAAGCTGAGTATTTCTATATGATTGCTCACTTTAGAAATGTTCATTGAATTTTGGAGGTTACGCATTCTTGTAAACTATTCTTAAAGGACAATATCCCGTGCATGCCTCAAATTACTCATGCTCTTGTTCAATCCCTCGACTTCTACTACAACCTTAAGGATATTTAGAATGGCAAAACAGAACCTCGAATAACACCCAATTTTACCACATAAACAACTCCTTAAAACAGCCGACAACACCTCACATGTCTCATAAAATAATTCAAGTTCTGTCGATTGCTATCTTTGTCAAACCCTTCCCAAACATCTCCAAGGTGGTAAGTTTAACACCCCTAATTTTTTTTTTATTTCTTTAATTTGATTTTGTACAACTGATATTGGGGACCAAATCATAAAACTCTAAAAAATTGATGACAGTTCTCGAAAGTTTTAGGAAGCCTAAGGACCTAGACTGGAATTATCCCACCGTGTACCTACAAATAGGGATGGGCATGGGTCGGATTTTTGGTCCACCTGACCCGACCCGAGAAGAAGGGGTCCTTCACCCGTGACCCGACCCGGCAAAAATTAGAATTTCACCCGACCCGACCCCGACCCGAGAAGAAGGAGTCCTTCACCCGTGACCCGATCCGGCAAAATTAGAATTTCACCCGACCCAACCCCGACCCGATAGACAATTTAAAAATCCGACTTGATTTAATTTTTTATTTAATAAAAAAAAGACCCGACTAGCATAATCAGTTTACCTTCAGTATCTATGGCTTGATTATAAATTTATAATCTTTTGGAAGGGACTTTACCTTCAGCTTTAGCCAACTGCATTTCACTGATTCATTTCAGTGCCGAAGCCAATGCACTTGGTGGGGTTATCCCAGCAACCATTGGAGCTCTTCCTGAGCTCCAAGTCGTTTCACTTGCTCATAACAAGAAACTAATTAGTTTGCTGAAGAGAATTTCCTTAGCAGAACACAGTTTGGGTTAGTTTTCAAGGCTTGATATAATGACGGAATGGTGCTCTCTATCCCGATCAAATCTATCAGACTAACACCTAACAACTCAACATGGAAACAATTTTATAAATCCATAATGAAAAACAAGGAGTGGGGCAAGTAGTTTATACCTTTGCCCAGTATGAATTATCTTCAAGCTTGCTATCAACGAATACTACCTCCTCAACATTCACTTTTTGAAATGGTTTCTTTGGCTGCTATAATACAAAGCTGAATATTAGAACTCTTATGAACCAAATATTAAGATATTTTACAATTATTATCATTATTACTTAACATCCTTGAAGAAACTACTTCTTTAATAAGAGTCATTCAAAGACCCGAAAATCGATTCTCCCTCAATTCTAAACACCATTCATCAGAAAACAACAGTCAAATCGAGGGCTAGAGAACAACGCACATCTACATATGCTATAAGGTTAAGGAAGAAAATAAATAACATAAACATAAAAAACTCTTACGTCCAACCTCAAATTAACCCAAAAAATCCAACACTAAAACTCAGGCAGTAGGAAGGAAAAAAGACAACGGGAAACACCTTATTGGAGCATTGTCCTTCAAAATTATTGAAGCTTCAGCAAAATAAATTAATATATTCAGCATGTGAAACAATTCTAAAAGAGTCCAGATTTAGTGTGTAAAATTCAAACATGACACAAATAGTCAGATTCAAATTGCCTACTTAGTAACAAACACAATAAGCAAAGTATTTCAAGCCAAAAGAAAGCAAGGTTTAATTACAGTCTTTCGGATTAACAATTTGACTTCAAGGGCAGGGGTTTAATAAACACGACTAATGGGTTTCATTCGACTAGTATGTAGTATATGTTTTGTTGCTTATAGAATTTAACAGACAGAGAGAGAGATAAAGAGATATCAGATACCTGAAGACTGAAGTAGATTAATCAGAAAGTGAGTCTCTGTACCTGAGTCGGTGGCTCAGTGGCTCGAACCTCGGTGGAGAATTTACACAGGGAATTACAAAGGGAATTAGGGCTCTGACCTCTATGTTTAAGTGTTTGAAGTTCAAAGCGTTGAAGGAGATGCTCGGGTAGGATTAGGGAAAGTAAAAAATTAAAAAAAAATTAATAATTATGCATTAACTATTCGGGTCGGATTGGGTCAGGTTGATCGGAACCCATTGGGGTCGGGTTCCATGTCTATCCCTACCTACAAAGTAAAAAAGTGGGGAATTAGATTAGTTTTGCAATTGTGGGGTTTTGAACCCACGTACTACTCGAAATGAGCTCCTACCTTCATATGGGATTTTAAATCCCTAATCGCCCCCAATTTAATTGGAAACAAATCCCTCAATATCAAATCCTTGTTTTTACTAAGCCTTCCCCGTCACCCCTCCACCACCGTTCAGGCTCCGACCGACGATGTCTTGCACCACCCACTCCATCAAGACCGCCGTTGTCAGGCGACCAAAACCCAAGCTGCCCCTCACTGAATCTCGCTGTCGTTCGTCGTGAATCATCGTTTGAAGTTTCATCGGAGAGAAAGTACAACGTCATTGTTTTTCGTTGTAGTTCGACTGATCTTGGCGTTGGTTCGCTGCACCGCCCCCGCCATTGAACTCGTCGCCTAATTTCGGTCAAGACCCAACCAATCTTGCTCCTCCTCGCTGCCACTTCGTCGTATTTTCTCCGATCATCGTGGGGGTAAGTTTCACTATTATTTTCATTAATTTCATTTAATTTCAGTTGGAATTTAGTGTTGATTTGGGTTGATTGTAGTGTGTTGATGCTTGGGGAGTGTTCGGATCACCGAACCTAGCTCCGTCACTACCGCACGTGCTGCCACACGCCGCTATAGCGTGTGGAATTTTACACTGACTGAATCTTCTGGAAAATGACAGAGTCAAATGAGTCAACTCGGACCGAGTCAACTCATACCAAACCAGTCAACCCGTTGATAAGAACTGTTGACTTTGACCAACGTTGACTTTGACAAAAAAGTCTTATTTAATGTTTTTTAACGTCATGAGTTCGAATTTGAATTTTCTTTTACCAAATTCGAACCTGGTAAGTTTTTTTTAAAACGTTTTATCTTTCGATTCGAATAGTTTTCCCAATTAAGTTCCTTTTCTGACATAATTCGTTTTGTTTTGTATCCGAGATGTTATGGGATGTTGAATTCAAATTCAAAGGCAATCGAATGGAGTTTACATAGTCGATCGATGTGGCATAAAATTTGAGGTAATACATTACTACCTTTTGTATGATTTATGGAACTAGGAAAATGCATGAATAAAAATGTTTAACCGTGTGCTCGTCATTGATTACTCTGAAACTAATATTGAATATAAAAAAATGATAGTCTTTTGGATACGGTTTGAATGACTCATATAGGAAGTTATATGACTCGTTTAAGGAACTAGTAGGCTGTAATGAAATAAATTCAAGGTTATTAAATAATGAATAAAGAGATTAACCTCAGGATCTTTAAATGTTGAATAATCTCACTGAAAGTTCTAAATCTAGAAATGTTTGGATAAAAAATTATGGAAATACCCTTATGAAGTAAAAAGGGATATGAATTGACCTGAATAGTGGAATTAACCTAAGAATTCATTCTTGAACCGATAGGTCTACTGTTTCACCTGTTAAATACTCAATCTATTTAGAAGATTCATGATAATAGACTTTTACCTCCGGAATGAAAAAACATTCTCAAAATTTCAGAATTACTAAACAAACGACCGAAGACTAAATCATCGAAAATATCATTTACGTTTGAATTGTTCGAAATGATTGAATTATATAAAAAGAATGAATCAAATAAGAATAATCAAAATACTCTTGAGTAGTTAAATGACCCAAATACCCTCATAATCAAGAAATAAATGGAAGTCAGTCGATAATTCTAGAAACGCTAATAATTTTAAGTGTTGTACCATCCCGTAAGGTTTGGAACACGACCCAAGTACGTCAATTATTTTGGATACTATTATATTATAGAGATAAAATAAATTCCACCAAAATACTTGTTCGGCTCCTAAAGATCTATTCACGATGATTATGAAAGTAATCAGTTCTACTAAAGTAGTAAGTATTAGAAAGTGAAAGATTATTAAAGTATCTCAGTCAGAATGTTTAGCAAGTATCATAGTGTTGGGATATGATTAGTTTGATTTGACTTGAAACCCTGATAATTCGATATAAATTATGAGTTTTATAAATTATCATTTTACCCTTATTGGATTAATT